AATATAGTTTATTGAAGAAACTAGATAATGAATAAAATGCACCAACAATGTGCAAATAATAGAACAAAATATATATAAAAAGCCTTAATAGGCAAATGGACCCATAGGTATAGCAGCTCTAAATAACATAAGAAGGTGCAAATGCTAAAGTGCAGACTGTGCAATAAAGTGAGAGAGTGCAACTCACATCACTCTAAGGATGATATACACTAGTAATGTCCACAAACAATCTCATAAGCAGCAAAAATGTAAAGCAGAAACTGCTAATACCAAAACTGGAGGGTCCCAATGTGGCTCAACGCGTTTCGTCCTTCGGACTTCGTCAGGAGCTTCTTAATCCTCTTCCTCTTCTTTCCCTTTTTGAATCCGCCGGTCCGTCGGTCCCCTGGTGATCGCGCATGCGTACGTCACGCGCAACGTCATACGTAATGACGCAGGCGTGTACGTTCCGCGCATGCGCGGTCACACTGGAACGCAAATCAACTTTATTGTTTCTATACACAGAGACATCCGAGTGTCCTACATCAAGGGCAATCGTATAAAATGTATAAACTGTGTTCACATCAAGGCCTGGCGGCTAGCTCAAATGCTAACATATGTAACTAACCAACAAATGTAAGATAAATGTGGCTTCATGGGGAATAATAAATAAGAATATGAAGAAGAAAAAAAATATATGTAAAAATATGAGAAATATATATAAAAATAAGTATAAAAAATATACATATAAAATAAATATATATATAAATATCAAAAATAGTAGGATACAGAAGAAGGTGCAAATAAAGTTCATATATGATCCACCAAGGATCCGCTAAAAAGCCATGATAGAAAAAAATATGCTCATTGTCATTATATTCATATTTTTACATACAAAATATATGTAAAAATATGAATATAATGACAATGAGCATATTTTTTTCTATCAGCCGCAGCAGGTGAGTCAGCTTGTCGTCCGGCAAGCGGAAATCCATGCTCCACGTATCCACTTCAATCCCTAAGTAGGACAGGACTCCCACCGGACCCACCGTCTTCTCGGCTGCTATCGGCACGCCAAACTCCGCAGCGACGGCCCGAAAGGAATCCAAGAGCCCCACGCAGTCATCCGACTCCCGCGGGCCCACAAACAAAAAATCGTCAAGTTAGGGACTCTATCCCCGCAACCCGAGCGACCACACATTCCAAAAACGATGCAAACATTTCAAAGTAAGAACAAGATATAGCGCAGCCCATAGGCAAACACATATCAAAGAAAAAGGAACCCTGAAACCGACAACCCAACAGGTGAAAACAGTCCGGGTGGACCGGGAGCAGGCGAAAAGCAGACTCGATGTCCGACTTCGCCAACAGAGCTCCCTTCCCTGCCTCCCGGACCAACTCTAACGCCCGATCAAACGAGGCGTAACGAACATGTGATTCTTCCTTGTCAATGTCATCATTCACCGACCCACCCGAGGAATAGGACAAGTGGTGAATGAGACGGAAGGATCCAGGCTCTTTCTTAGGAACTAACCCCAGCGGGGATACCCGCAAATTGGGAAATGGAGGCGAGTCAAACGGACCCGCTATCCTGCCCAAACAAACTTCCTTCCTCAACTTATCCTCTAAGATAGACTCTTTACCCACCACCGAACACAGGTTATCTGCCAGGGAAGGGGAATCCGAATGAACAAACGGAATCCAAAACCCTGTTGAAAACCCCTCTAGCAGAACCCCTGCATCCTTACGCTTGGGATACAGGTCGAGCCAAGGGCGCATCCTTAGCATGCTCACCGGAGTCCTCCCCTCTAGGGAGATCCTCCCTCTTAGATCTCCCCCCATGCTTGCCCTTCTTGAAACAGCGCAGCGCAGGGTGGGCCCCTCCACAATGAGAGCACTCGTGCTTGAAACGGCATGATCCAAACCACTTGCAGTGACTCTCATTGTAGAGCCAGCAGACTCCCCTGCGCTGCCCAGCCGGCGCACTGGACGGCACACCGGCTGCTCCTGGAAAGGGGGATGGACGACTAGGGGTCATCAGCAAGAGCCAAAGGCTCCCGTCCTGGACCACAAAATCCATACCCGAACACACCGCCATCTTCTGGCGAAATTGTTGGTCATACCGAAACCAACATTGTCCCCCATAAACCTTGTACGCCACCCATATGAGGTCTAGATACCCAAACAACGCTGATGCCTTCTCCGGGAAGGCCCGCGTCATCACACTTGCAAAGATGGAGAACCCTTGCAGCCAGTTCCCAAACGTACGCGGCAGATGCTTACCTCTGTCGCCGTCCACCGAATCTCCCCGCCGCGGCCTATCCACCGACTCCCGGTCCGGGGGGACAAGGGACAGTAAATCTACGTATTCACCTTTAACAATCTTCTCTTTCACCTCCAAAGCCACGTGCATCCCAAGTGGGGACAGCTCGCAACCTGGCAAGCACTGCGCCCTACCTGACCGAGCAGTACACTGACCCTTATCCTGTGCATGGGCCTGCGCAGGGAGAGAAACTGGGACAGACAAAGGGCCCCCTATCTAACACGGCCTTCAGCAACCCCAGAACCTCCCCATTAAACCCACTATCTACCCTATCCCCAGCTAGCGCATGCCAAGCGCTAGCGCAACACTTACCGCTGGCTGGCTGAGGATGCTGGGTCTCACCATCATCAGAACCGGAACTGGACCCCGATCCCAGGGGTGATTCACGGCCGGCCTCCTGGCCCGACCGCAATCTTCCTTCCAGGGTGCTGCTGCTGCCACTCCTGTGGCCTCTCCGGCTTCCGGTGGCCCTCCTGGGCTCTTCTCGCGTGGTTTCCGGCTCACTTCCTGCCGGAACCACGCTGGAACGCAAGGCCTGTGACGTCCGCGCTCTCCTGCACGGTGACGTCACGTACGCGCCTTGCGTGATGACGATCCTTCCGGCCGCGTCCGCATCACGCCCCGAGCGTGCTGACGCGACTTCCGGGCCGGCCGGAAGAGAAGAGCGCGGAGAGCGCGATCTTCCCGCCCTTTCGGCAACCTGGCTTCCGCCGCCATCTTGGTCCTGGACACAACCACAGGCCTCACCGGAACGGATCCTCCTCCTCCCGGGTACCGGACTCCGGAACGGTCGCGCGGCCGAGCCGCCACTTCTTCCCCTCCTCTGACACCGAACCGGACTGGGAGAAAGACGCGACGGAGGCCTCGATCTCCTGGCCCTCCGTCCGTCTCGGCATGCAGACTGACCGGCCCTTACATCCTGGGGGACATTCCTCACGCCCGACACCAGCTCCTCCAGGGCCCCCTGTCCATGGGTCTCCAGGTAAGACTGCAGAAGTCTCTGCAAAGCAGCTCCAGTGTCAGCCATAATTGCTGCAAGTGGACCGTCAGTATCAGTAGAATGCGCTGTTTAGGTGATAATCAAAATTTATTTTTTATTTTTTTTGTGTGTGAAAATACTAACTGTTTGTCTTGAATTACAGGGCCAGTCAGGTAAGAAAACAGCCAAGATCCCTCAATGAACCTGCTGACTGGTAAGTCCCCTCCCTCTCCCTTTCCTTAAGAACCACAAATGTATCCATTTTAACCCAGCCCCCAATCTTGGGCAGCAGTCATGCTCCCCCTTCCTTATTCTTCCAGGGGGAAACTGTTTATATATTTTATACGATTGCCCTTGATGTAGGACACTCGGATGTCTCTGTGTATAGAAACAATAAAGTTGATTTGCGTTCCAGTGTGACCGCGCATGCGCGGAACGTACACGCCTGCGTCATTACGTATGACGTTGCGCGTGACGTACGCATGCGCGATCACCAGGGGACCGACGGACCGGCGGATTCAAAAAGGGAAAGAAGAGGAAGAGGATTAAGAAGCTCCTGACGAAGTCCGAAGGACGAAACGCGTTGAGCCACATTGGGACCCTCCAGTTTTGGTATTAGCAGTTTCTGCTTTACATTTTTGCTGCTTATGAGATTGTTTGTGGACATTACTAGTGTATATCATCCTTAGAGTGATGTGAGTTGCACTCTCTCACTTTATTGCACAGTCTGCACTTTAGCATTTGCACCTTCTTATGTTATTTAGAGCTGCTATACCTATGGGTCCATTTGCCTATTAAGGCTTTTTATATATATTTTGTTCTATTATTTGCACATTGTTGGTGCATTTTATTCATTATCTAGTTTCTTCAATAAACTATATTAATCATATCCCCTTTCTTATCCTCATTTATTCATCTGGTGAATTTGGCGCCCTGTATTTTCCTTGTTTTAATCCTAATTCTAACCTTAACTCTATCATTAACACTAATTGTAACCCTATAACTAACCCTAGTGCTTACCCTGTATCTAACTCTCTGCTAAAATAAGAAATCTCTCTGCTGATATGAGGTGTATAAGTGCTCAATGTTGCGGGATATGTAATAAACTCACAATCCCTTCTCAGGCCGCATTCTCTACCATAATGTTAACGGAGATGTAATAATGCAAGAAAAAGCATTTCTTCTACATTATCTTTATTGTCCTTGCAGTCAGGGAATGAGGATATTGCACAAATCCTAACAACATTTCAGCTAGCTAATACCTGTGTTGTGGACAAAAATATTAATCCAATTTATGTTAGTAAAATGCCTATTTACTCAGCATACCTACAATCAGCATTATTCAACTTTCTATGTGATTTACCTAAGATGGCCGCTATGGAGTTTCCCTTCGACATCGACTAACACCCTCACTAACAAGATGGCGCTGGAATCTGGGGGAGACCTCCAAAATACCAGTGACATCACACCGGTAGGAAGAGCAATAAATGAACCACTTAACACCTAACCAATTATTGATGTATTATTTTTTGTTATCTCTGACAAAGCATATGATGTAATTTTGCTTTATAAGGGGCATGCCATCCCCTCAGAATAAACATTACCATAGGCGTGCGCAGCCTATTGCATTAGGGTGTGCACCCTAAAGCACAAACACACGCCGCGCGTGTGTGTGTATATATATATATATATATATATATACACACACACACACTCTCACAGACACACACACACTCACAGACACACACACACACTCACAGACACACACTGACACACACACACACACACTCACAGACACACACACACTCACAGACAGACACACACACACACACTCACAGACACTCATACACTCACAGACACACACACTCACACACTGACACACTCACACACTGACACACACACACTCACACTGACACATACTCACACACTCACAGACACACACACACTGACACATACTCACACACTCAGACACACTGACACATACTCACACACTCACACATACTCACACACTCACAGACACACACTCACACTGACACATACTCACACACTGACACATACTCACACACTCACAGACACACACTCACACTGACACATACTCACACACTCACAGAAACACACACTGACACATACTCACAGACACACACTCACACTGACACATACTCACACACTCACAGAAACACACACTGACACATACTCACACACTCACAGAAACACACACTGACACATACTCACACACTCACAGACACACACTCACACTGACATACTCACACACTCACAGACACACTGACACACACAAATTATTATATTTTAATTTTAAAAAAAAAATGTCCACCCAGCCTCCTACCTGGAGTGCTGGTGGACTTTTCCCTGGGGTCCAGTGGGGGCGGGCGCCTTTCCGCAGTTCAGCCGCGGCGAGGGAGCTCTCTGCTCTCTGCTGTCTGCTCCCTCTCGCCGCGCGGGCTGTCTGCTGCAGCTGGGAGCCGGAATATGACGTCATATTCTGGCTCCCGGCATCAGCGCGCGGCGAGAGGGAGCAGACAGCAGAGAGCAGAGAGCTCCCTCGCCGCGGCTGAACTGCGGGGTGGGTGGAATCATCACCTCTTGCCCTCCCATGACAGGGGCAAGAGGTGAAACAGGGGGCGCTGAGTGCCTGCAGGAACGCTGTTCCTGCAGGACTCAAACCATAGGCGTGCCACGGGGATTAGGGTGTGCCCAGGCACACCCGGCACACCCCGTGCGCACGCCTATGAACATTACTCAAGTTTTTCATTAACCCGAAACCTGTGTCTGGTGTGAATTACTTTAGGAGCGTGCACGCACTACTTCTTTAATTTGGCCGGGGGCAGATACACAAGATAATCAATTGATTGATTGATACCACATCACCTGTATACCTTTTACATAATTACATAAGTGCCTTGTTTGGCAGTCATGTTGGCAGCGTGTACTTTAACCTATTACTCCCAGTCTGCATCATTAGAGATAGAATGTGCTGGTAAACAACGTATTTCTTGGAATTGTTATGAACAACTTATTTCTTAGCAATTACCTAAATCTTTTGGCCTTTTTTTTACCCCACCTTGTTCCAATGAAATGATATGAAATAGAAGCAAGTGAACTTTAGATTGTAAGCTCGCATGCTCTCTAGCTAAGCATTTTATATAAAAGAGCTTCAATAGCTTGTTTTCCAGCTTAGGTTGAAGTGGTCAATAAAGGCAAACATCATGAGCAGAATAATACCATAACCAATAGTGACCTACCTTGTCCTGCACTCAAGCAAACTAAGGTAAAGGTTTATAGCAAATCAGAGTGTGCATAACATATTTAACATGCTTATTTTCACTCATTTTCTTTATGCTGGTAATATCAGCATGATAAGAAAAACAAGTGGATGAGTAATGATTAAATACAGTCATTAAATTATATTTTTTTCTTAATATCCAATTCCTTGGTTGTTCTGGCATTACCGAGGTTCATTCCAATAATTAGGGAATTGGTTGATCTTTCTATCCATCAGCAATCTGCACATGTATATTCAAAGTGACCCTATTATACAAAGTTAAGCAATTCAGTGAAAATCCTTTGAATGAGCAACCTTCTGAATATTTATAAATCATCTGTAGGGTTTCTTGCTGCCCCCGAGGTCAAAGTTTAGTTTGTAGCTTTTAGAAGGTCTAAATTATATTTTGATGTGGGATTCGATGCTTTTGAGCTTTTAGTCTGCAATGTTCAATAAGAAGGCAACATTAAAACTTGGAAATTCCTAGCTTGTAAAATTCTTAAATAAACAGTGAGAAGAATACTTTTTAATGTTTAAGATTTTAGTTTGATTAATAGGGTATCAGAAATGCATGTGCTAGAAATATTTTTGTGTGTGTGTGTGTGTGTGTATATATATATATATATATATATATATATATATATATATATATATAAAAAAAAAAAAATAAATGTTTTGAAAAACTGGAACCATCCATTATATTTGTGAACACTGTTATACTAAAGTTTACTGTTGCTGCAGTTTTTAGAAGAAAAAAGAAAACCCATCAAAGTTGTAACTGCGGTGATTGTTTTTTTTTTTTCTTCATATACTCCCAGCATACCGCATCTTGAACATATGACTAGAGTTTGATTGAATACACTAACATTAACTCAGATTACCATATATAAAAATGAGTTGCAGTAGCATATTACACAAATAAGAAATGAGTGAAAGAGATTAGCATTCAGGATAATGCACAGAACAGCCACAATTAAAATGGAAATCGGTCTATAATTCATTTCACAGTCACATTCCTAACTACCAAATGAGTAGGACAAAAGACTCTGATTTTCTGTGTTTCTCCACTGGGTAATCGTTATCATGTTTATTGGTCATACAGTGATATGAAAGATAATCAGACATTTTACTTGTTGAGTTCAGTTTATATTTTAACATGAGAAATGATAACTTAGTATCCTATACTGTTGCTTAATCAACCCTTTTCTTTTAGCGTAATTGAATATATTCACTAATTCCTAGTTTGTCATCTTTAGCTGGGACAGAGAGAATGAATGTATTAAATTGCCTGCTTTATACTGTTTATTAGATTTGCAGTATTTTCGGAGACTGTTAGTCTGCAGAAATAATATACCGCCATTGTATACCATATATATTAAACACAATAAAAATTTTGAAAGCTGATTCTACATTGTCTGATGTTTTTTCTTTTCTTGTGTGGCTTGTATATTAAAAGTAATGCTAAACCCTAGTCCAGGATAATATAAATCAATACATATTTTGATTCATTTTTGATTATTACTGAGATTTGTTTTGTGTTATACTTGAATTAGAAATGTAAACTAGACCCCAGGACCAAACCGGTCGGGCATTGAGATCTCTCCAATGTCATCTTGGAATGGTATTAAATACCAGGATTAAGATCTACACCTTCTGCCAGGGATTCGGACCTGGATAATCTACTGGGACAGTTGCCTTTCCTTGTCATTTTACAGGTCCTTGGGACCTACCTACATGCCTTTCTAGCCAATTGCAGTGGCTGTATGTTTTTGTGTGTTTAGTGTTTTACACATTGTATTAGTTTCTTATGGTTTTACAAATTGTCCATATTTATGGTTTTTTTAAATGATTAAAGATTTTGAAAACTTTCTAATTTACCCACTGCTGACATCTGTGTTATTACTCTATGGTTTTAATGGTGTGTGAAGTCCACTAACAGAGTAAGCCTTTGTATTTCTCACTTTTATCACAATTAGAGGAATACTTATCCTATATTGCATGCTTCTTACACCACAACATTTTTGTTTTTTTTATATGTTCATTGTGGTGTTTTGGAGTTAACTGGTGTATTGGTCTAGCTAGAGGTGGTGACTATTGTATTGTGTTTTTTTTAATCAAAATAGACCCAGACTGATTTGTTCATTTTCCAGAGAAATTACCACTTCTCATTTATTCACCTCAGTGCTTTTTCAGAGTTTACTGGGGTGAATAATACAGTAGAAGCAAAAAGAGATAAAAACCTATACAATACTCTGCCGCACTTCCTTGTGGCAACTCCACCTGTACATTGACAGTCAACCTATTATACAGCAGTGCTGTGGATGTACATATGCAAGGCATACATCACTGCAAGAGTTCATTTACATACTTTGCCTGATTTAGCATAACAAAGCATTTAAGTTAAAATAAAAGAGAGGATGTTATTAAAAAAAAAACAATGTTATTAGCATGACTAGTCATTAACTTAGGTCTTAGGTGTGCTTAGGAAGTGTCAGTTCTTCATTAATTCACATTATGAAGCATTGTCTGTATCATGTAATTTGGGGTTTAAGCTTATTTAAAACTTAAGGCTAAAGCAGCTGAAATGAAAGCATAGCGGACTTAGATAATTTTTCCAGTTTGGCTATTTTTGACCTTAAAGGGACACTCCAGGCACCCAGACCACTTCTGCCCATTGGAGTGGTCTGGGTGCCAACTCCCACTACCCTTAACCCTGCAAGTGTAATTATTACAGTTTTTTATAAACTGCAATAATTACCTTGCAGGGTTAACCCCACCTCTAGTGGCTGTCTACTAGACAGCCATTGGAGGGCACTTCCTGGACCATAGCACAGAAAGCCTGTGCTAGAGCGTCGCTGTGTGAGGACCTCCAGTGTCGCTCAGTTCCCCATAGTAAAGCATTGAAAAGCATTTTCAATGCTTTCCTATGGAGAGCTCTAATGCGCATGCACGGCATTGCCACTCATGCGCATTAGGTCTGCGCGACCGGCGGGTGGGATCAGTCTCGTATTAAGGAGGAAGAGCGGCGGCGACCCGAAACCACCACCAGTGAGTGAATGGGTTTTCACCCCTTCAGCAACCGGGGATTGGGAGGTGGGAGAGAGAGGGGACCTGCAGTGCCAGGAAAACAGATTGTTTTCCTGGCACTGGAGTGTCCCTTTAAATTTGACGCTCTCTTTGATTTCTGACTTCAGTTTTGCAGAAACTGCAATGTTTACAGTGCATAGTTAAAGGGACACTGTACATTGAAGTGGTCTGGGTGCTGTGTCCCTTTTGCATGGGATTGCAGTTCCAGAGAACTGAAATGTTTACATTGCAGCTCTAAGTCTGCCCTCGGTGGCTATCACACTCTACATCAGATGTTTCCCCATAGGGAAAGCATTGATTCAATGCTTTCCTATGGGGAGGTCTAATGCACGCGCAGCATTTGCTGCACATGTGCATTAGACCCCACTTGTTGTGGGGTGGAGCTTGGAAGCAGCGCCAAGGGACATCGGTACTGGGATAAGGTAAGTAAATAAAGAATTTTACACCCATTATTTAATGGGGAGGAGCAGGGAGGCAGAGGGATCGGTAGTGCCAGGAATATAGCTTTGTATTTTTGGCACTACAGTATCCCTTTAAACACACCTTTAGAGACTTGTTTTATAGGTGCTTCTCTACAATGATCGAATAAAGCTTTTAGGAAAGCATTAAATTCAATGCTTTCCTATGAG